GCTTTATCACACTGTGTATGCCACTACCTTTGATGGCCTTAAATTCACCAATATGAGCACTAGTTCCAGACATTTTCCTGTCACACAGGGTGTTTTTTTTTTTTTTTGTATTTTTTTTTTTTTAAGTTGACTGTGTGTGTTGCATACTGGGGAACAAGATTAAGGACCCCATTGGAAATAAGTTAGACAGTCCTTGATGATGCACTGGGTTTCTTGGGTTATCCTGGGTGGCTAACCCTCTGGGTTAATTGTTTCTCATTAAGCCACACCAACAACAGCTGATGTGTTGCAGCAACAGCTGATGTGGTGCAGCCAACAGCTGATGATGGTGCAGCAGCCATCCGACCATGGTACAGCAGCAGTCAGCAGGTGACTGTGGTACAGCAGCAGCAGCAGCTGACCATGGTACAGCAGCAGCATCAGCAGCTGACTGTGGTACAGCAGCAGCTGAATGGTGTGCAACAACAGCTGATGGTGGTGCAGCAGCAAGCTGAACCATGGTAGGCAGCATCAGCAGCACAAGCAGCAGCAGCAGTTTGACCCATGGTACAACCAGCACATCAGCTGACTGTGGTACAGCACACTGATGGTGGGCAGCACAGCTTAACGGTGTAAGCAGGCAGCTAGAACCTTGGTACAGCAGCACAGCTGACAGTGGGTACAGGAACATCAGCAGCTGAACAGTGTATAAGGTGCAGCAGCAGCGATGGTGGTGGCAGCAACAGCTGATGGTGGTGCAGAGCATGACCGTGTTTATAGGCAGGCACTGAGGGTGGTGTCAGCAGCCAGCTGAATGGTGGTGCAAGCAACAGCTGATGGTGGTGCAGCAGCAGCTGACTGTGGGTACGGCAGCAGAAGCACTGACCGTGGTAAAACAGCAGCAGCAGCTGACTTGGTACGGCAGCAGTAAGCATCTGACCATGGTCCAGCAAGCGCAGCTGACGCATGTTACAGCAGCAGCACAGCTGACCATGGTAAAGCTGCAGGCAGCAGCTGACTGTGGTACAGCACAGCTGATGTGGTGCAGCAGCAGCTGAGGGCCATGGTACGATAGTATTTCGATAGTAATTCCTCGCCCTTTTATCACAGGGTTAGGCACTAGAAGCTTTCTTTGGGCCCATGGTTGCTTATTAGTAGTTTTACAGCACTAAAACAATGAATAATACAATTTTTATCGAATGTATGCGTGCGACTATCCACCCTGGCTTGTAAACAATGGCACTAGCTGAGCTGAGGCGCTCTCGCCAGATGGACCGCATTTGGGACAAATGATGTAAGTTGAACTTTTCTTCGTAGGGCGGGGAAATTGTTTTTATGCTGAAGGTGCTTCGTACGATGATTTTATCATAAGATGAAGGCCAATAGTAAGTCTGGGGTTTCACTGATAGTGAACCCTCGGTTATCAGCTGTAATCCGTTCCAGAAGCTCGGCCTAAAACCGAAATGGCCAAAAAACAAAATAATATTACCCATAAAAATTAGTGTAAATACAATTAATCTGTTCCAGACAAAATTATTCACCAAAAAATCACTTTTTAACTAATAAATCAGTAATTGTACAATAACGATTTATTGAAGACTATTGCTGGCTCTGGAATGCCTACTACACTTCCTGCATGCCTGCTACACTTCCTGCATGCTTGCTACACTTACTGCATACCTGCTACACTTCCTACATGCCTGCTACACTTCCTGCATGTCTGCTACACGTCTGCATAAAATTCCATGTGTCTTTTCTCACTTCTTACCAAAACATGAACTTTACTAGGAACTTTCTTTGGAGCCATGGTTACTTATTTCGCAGCTGCACTGCAAAAAACTCACTAAAAACACTGGAAAACAAACAAAATGTTTGGATACATGAGCAGAAGCTTCCTCACACACCGAAAGACACAGCCAATCTGATAAGCAAGTGTCCCCAGCCGACGGACAGACGCGTCCGAAATGTCCGATCACCGGGAGCCGAAAAACCATCCGATCACCGAGTTGGCCGATAACAGGAATGGCTGATGACCGAGGGTCCACTGTACTCAATAATAATCACCAAGTCTCATCAAATGTATATTATGCTAATACTGTATACACATTTTCATTAATCCATTTACAGTGGACCCCCGGATTAAGACGTCATTGGATTAAGTAATAATCGAATTAACCCTTAAATGTAGATCTACGTTTGTGCGCGTAGCGCTCTGACCTTGATTTTCTCCATAAGAAACAATATAAAATAGGTAGATCTATTTCGGAGCGCTACGTGAGCAAACGTAGACTAATTTGGAACAGTTAAAAGGGTTTAAGTAATAATCAGATTAAGTAACATTTTTGCATCAAAGTATTGGCTCGGTTAAAGTCATTCGTCCCAAATGTGTCCATGCACCGTGAGAGGCCCAGACACTCCATACACAGCCAGTGTGCCATTGTTTACAAGCCAGTGAGGATGATTTCATGCATACATGCAATACATTTTGTAATATTCCATTGCTTTTAGTGCTTGTAACTGCTAAATAAGTCACCATGGGCCCAAAGAAAGCTTCTAGTGCCAGCCCTTTGGTAAAGAGGGTGAGAAACACTATAGAATTCAAGAAAGAGATCATCACAAAATGCTAAAGTGGAGTGCGTGTCTCCAAGCTTTCCAGGTTGTATAACAACCCCATACAACCATCGCTACTATCTTGGCCAAGAAAAAAAGGCAGTCAAGGAAGCTGTTGTTGCAAAAGGTGCAAATATGCTTACAAAACAGAGATTGCAAATACTCGAAGATGTGGAGAGACTGTTGTTGGTGTGGATCAACGAGAACGAATTACAGTGTATCTGGAATAGTGTTTTCGTAGTCAGTTTATATGTGAAAAGGCAAGGCAGTTGCATGATGATCTCATTAAGAAAATACCTGGAACTAGTACTGATATTGGTGAATTTAAGACCAGCAATGGTTGGTTTGGGAGATTTAAGAATCGTAGTGGCATACACAGTGTGAATAAGCCATGGTGAGGCTGCAGTAGTCTGACAAAAAAGTGGCTGAAAAATATGTTCAGGAATTCAAGGGGTACATAGAGGCTGAAAAATTCAAACCCCAATAAGTGTTCAGTTGTGACGAAACAGGCCTGTTTTGGAAGAAAATGCCAAACAGGACCTACATTACTCAAGAGGAAAAGGCACCCCCAGGACACAAGCCTATGGAAGAAAAGCTAACTCTCATGTTTTGTAGTAATTCTAGTGGGGATTTGAAAGTGAAGCCTTTACTCATGTATCACTCCGAAATTTCCAGAGTGTTCAAGAAAAACAGCATCAAAAAGACTAAATTGTGTGTTATGTGGAGGCAAACAGTAAGGCATGGGTCACGAGGGACATTTTCCTAGATTGGTTCCACGACATGTTTGGCCCCAGTGTGAAAAAATACCTCCTGGAAAATAAATTGAAACTCAAGTGCTTCCTGGTAATGGACAGTTCTCCTGCTCATCCTCCAGACTTGGAAGAGCGAATGGTGCCGGAGTATAGTTTCATTGAAGTGAAATTCTTTCCCCCTAATACCACTCCTCTCCTCTAGCCCATGGACCAGAAAGTCATTTCAAATTTCAAGAAATTGTGCACCAAAGCAGTTTCAAAAGTGCTTTAAAATGACCTCAGACACTGAATTGACCCTAAGAGAGTTCTGGAAAGATCACTTCTGTGTCCTCCATTGCATAAACCTTATAGGTAGGGCTTGGGAGGGAGTGACTTCCAGGACTTTAAACTCTGCTTGGAGAAAATTGTGGCCAGAATGTGTACATTCTGGGGCTGACCCTGAGGAGCTTATGCCAGTTGTGGAGTCTATTGTGGCATTGGGGAATTCCGTGGGGTTGGATGTGAGTTTGGAGGATGTGGAAGAGTTGGTGAAGGACGACGATGAAGAGCTAACCACTTCAGAGCTGCAACAGCAACAGACCACAGCTCGGGAATTTCCTTCAGAGGAGGAGGAAGAGAGATGGAGGAAGGTACCTTCTTCAAAGATTAAGGACATTTGTGCAAAGTGGAATAAAATGCAAACATTTATGGATGAACATCACCCTGACACAGCTGTTGCAGGTGCTGCTGGCAACATCTACAATGACAATGTTGTGTCCCATTTAGGGAAATCTTAAAGACACGCCAGAAACAGAGCTCTCTGGACAGATTTTTGGTGTGACAGGGGTACAGTGACTCTCAAGCTGGTCCTAGTGGCATTAAAAAACAAAGGGAAGTAACCCCGGAAAAGGACTTGGTACCTGAAGTCCTTATGGAAGGGGATATCCCTTCCAAACAATAGTACACCTCCATCCTCTTCCCTCCTGTCTCATCACTCATCAATAAATCTTCAATAAAGGTAAGTGTTATTTCAGTAATGTTTTACTCTGCATATCTCATTGTTTTCTGTGTAGGGAAATGTATATTTCATGTAAAAAAATTATTTTGTTTAATACTTTTGGGTGTCTTGAACAGATTAATTGGATTTACATTATTTCTTATGGGGAAAATTAATTCGGATTAAGTCAGATTCGGTATAAGACACTCTCTCTAGAATGGATTAATTATGTTAACCGGGGATCCCACTGTATGTATTTTTTCAAAATTACAGTGGACCCCCGACTTACAATCAGCTCCCAACTCGAATAATTATGTAAGTGTATTTTTGTAAGTGCTTTTGTAAATGTTATGGGGCTATGGGGCCCAACATGTATTTATGTATCTGTAAGTTACTCTGGGATACCTAATTATATTGAATTGATGGGGACTCAGCTCTAAATGTCATAAGGGCAGATCACTCTTATGGCTGTAAGGCAGCTGAGTCAAGCCTGTTTTTCTTAATATAATAGGTTATACTATAGACACACACACACAATTTAAATAAGTAGTTTATAAAGTTGTTTTCTTTTTGTAACAGTAAAATAAGGTATAGTAGAATTGTGGTAACAAGAGAATTGTGCTTGGCAACAGTCTTTTGTTTTGGTGGGAGGAGTTTAGCTAGGCTCCCCCCCCCTCCTCTCTCTCTCTCTCTCTGTTGGTGGACTCCCAGCTGGCAGGACCTCTGGGTCCTTCTATTTCTTTTGGGCATTATGTGTGCTCCAGGGGTGAGTTTTTATAACTTAAGTTGTGGCCACCATACCCAGGGTGACTAAAGTATGTCAAAACACTGGTTAGCCCAGAGTTATGTCAAGAAGAGAGAAGGACATTGTTGAAATGCACCATGTGGACTGTCCTAGAAGAGCAGCTAAGGGGTATGCAGGCTTATGTTTTGAATATGTGAATGCTGTAATTGTATATTCTGTACATATCTATTTGGAATACAGTTATATTTTCATAGTAGTAGTTTAAATAACCTGTGAAGAGGGCTGGTGAAAGGATATCAGAGACACTGAGGATGATCAGTCATGATGTAAGTATTACCCTAGACAGATTAGGCCATTAAGTAAAAAGCTACCCCACACTAGAACATGTAGTGAGAACCTTACTATCAAAGTAATAAGGGACATACCAACGTAACAGTAAATGTATTCTTGGGGGTTTGAAACGGACTAATCTAATTTACAATATTCCTTATGGGAGCAAATTTGTTCAGTAACGGCACCCGAACAGCCTTCTGGAACGAATTAATATCGTAAGTCGGGGGTCCACTGTATATAATAAACACGGTACGTACAGTGGAACCTCAAAAATCGAACGTATCACATATCGAACGTTTAGAAAATAGGACCATTTTTTCGGACAAACTGTGTCCCTATTATCGAACGCGCCCCTATTTTCGGACCGCCGGGTACGGGACCTGTCTGCCGCCCGCTCTGTTCGCATCCCCGCGCAGGCGCCGTGAGCAGTCTAGCTTTGTTTATGCTTGAGTGAACACTAACCTGCGCTCTCATTCACGCATTTTACGATTATTTCGTTGTGTTTAGTGCTTGTGGGACTGTGAAATAAGCTGCCATGGGCCCAAAGAAACTTGCTAGTGGTACCCCTGTGGTAAAGAAAGTGAGAAACACCATAGATGTGAAGAAGGAAATAATACAGAAGTATGACAGTGGTGTGAGAATTGTTGAGCTTGCCAGGATGTATGGGAAAAACAAGTCCACCATTGGTTCTATCCTGGCAAAGAAAGAACAAATCAAGGAAGCTGATGTTGTGAAAGGTGTTAATATAGGGAGTGGATGAGGTACCTTCTTCAAAGATTAAGGAGATTTGTGCCAAGTGGAATGATGTCCAAATGTTTGTGCAGAAGTACCACCCTGAGCAAGCTGAAACAAGCCATCTTTGCAACAAGTTCAGTGATAGAACCATGTCCCATTTTAGGGAAATGTTAAAGAGGCGCCAGAAACAGAGGACTGTGGACAGTTATTTAGTGAGACAGGGGTTCAGTGACTCTCAAGCTGGTCCTAGTGGCATTAAAAGACAGAGAAGGGAAGTAACCCCAGAGAGGGCTTTACCTGAAGTCCTCATGGAGGGGGATTCTCCTTCCAAACACTAACCCCAACTCCCTCTCTCCTCCTCCCTATCTTCCAGATGCCATCACCAATCTTCAATAAAGGTAAGTAAAAATGTTATTTTATATGTATTACTATGCATAATTAAAAACTATAGTATTTGTTGTATGTAAAACTGTAATTAATCTCTATAAAATGTATTTTTTGTGTGAATATTTTTGGGTTTCTGGAACGGATTAATTGTATTTCCATTATTTCTTATGGGAAATATTGCTTCGAATTTCAGACTTTTCGAATTTAGAACTAGCTCCTGGAACGGATTAAGTTCGATTTTTGAGGTTCCACTGTAATATATAAACATGATAAATACACCCCACAGTAGAATAAATTAACATAAATATGAGATGTGGCAGCCAGACGACTTGTACAACTGATGGCAAGAATAACGTTTTCTCTAGTTCAACATCAGAGAAAACGTGTTACTGGGGGTAACTAGAAAATTATTCCTTTCATATGCCTTCACTGAGGGCATCATTTCTTCTAAAAATTGTGTTACATGAGAATGGGAGTGTTCCTCTTTATTTATTCTACCGTATCAACGTAGAGACAACTTGTACACAATGTAACTTGTACACAAACCAGATGTGTTAACCTGGCTTGTTTACAAAACTCGCAAACTTGCATATGCCCAGTTTGTTTACATAACTCCGCACCTGTCCTCTCTCATGTAATCATTCTCTCTCTCTCATTTATTTGTTTTATCTCATTTACTCACCTCTGACCCTACATTAAGACTACAAATATTTTAATGTAAGTAATGATTGTACTATATGTGTATTTTACTTTTTTAGTGTTTTTTTTAATGCCTAGTTCTATTGCTAACTTACTATATGTATCTTTAAACTTGTTATCTAGTATTTATATGCATTTATAAGTGGAAAAAAGGGTGTTCCACTTTATGGCGATTTCCACTCTACGTGCACAACCTGGAACCTAACCTGCCATATAATTAAGCTCTCATTGACGATCTTCCATTTAGCAGATTTTGGCAATTTCAGACAAAAAAAACTTGGCTGGATAAATGGAAAATGTTCGATAAAATGGAAAAAAGCCCGTTTTTCCTGATTTTGTCTGTTCCGGTAGTGTCTGATTGTCTCCCAAAGCATTGGACCAAGTCTAATGATTACAACGTCCAGAATCAGCCAAAGCAGCCATGCCCCAGGATCTGTCTCTCTTTTCATTGTTTCCTGAATCATAGTCCTTCAGCACCAGTTTATTGTTTTTGCTTGCTCACGCATACACTTGTCATTCAGTCTCCAATTTTCCTCTAGATTTACAGTGTTTTGTGTGACTTTATTAACATTTTAAATAAAGTGCAATTAACAGTGGGTAAAAGGAGACGTATGGTTCTCATTGTTATGTACAAACTTGAGCTAATAAAGAAGGTTGAGCCTGGCATGTCTTCTCAGTCATCTACATCATTTTTGCTAGTAGAGCTTTCCAGCTTCTCTTACTGAAAATATAGGCTATTCTTAATCAACACTGTCAATCACAGCAGTTTACACCTTATCTCTCACCATGAGAAGGTAAGTAAAATTACTGTAAATTATGAATAGTGCTATTAATCTTTTCGCTGTCTGTCATGTAGAACTATGTTATTGAGGCTCAGCTCACTCACATAAACTGTGAGCGGTAAATTTTGGCCTAGATATGAGAGAATGGGTCTGTGCAGTGAGTGTGCACCATATTAACCCCTTGACTGTTTCGGTCGTATATATACGTCTTATGAGCCACTGTGTTTGACATATATATACGCATAAATTCTAGTGGCTTCAAATCAAGCGGGAGAAGGCTGGTAATAATAATAATAATAATAATAATAATAATAATAATAATAATAATAATTTTCTAGGTAGTAGGCTGGTAGACAGCAACCACCCAGGGAGGTACTACCGTCCTGCCAAGTGAGTGTAAAATGAAAGCCTGTAATTGTTTTACATGATGGTAGGATTGCTGGTGTCCATTTTTCTGTCTCATGAACATGCAAGGTTTCAGGTACGTCTTGCTACTTGTACTTACACTTAGGTCACACTACACATACATGTACAAGCATATATATATACACCCCTCTGGGTTTTCTTCTATTTTCTTACTAGTTCTTGTTTATTTCCTTTATCTCCATGGGGAAGTGGAACAGAATTCTTCCTCCGTAAGCTATGCGTGTTGTAAGAGGCGACTAAAATGCCAGGAGCAAAGGGCTAGTAACCCCTTCTCCTGTATATATTACTAAATTTAAAAAGAGAAGCTTTCATTTTTCTTGGGCCACCCCACCTCAGTGGGATACGGCTGGTATGTTGAAAGAAAGAAGAAGAAGAATAATAATTTGTGATTTTGTTGTTCTTGAGTGCTTATGAAATATACATATACAAAGGAATATTATTTCATTAAGAATTTTTACCAACAGGCATTTAGGCTTCGTCAGAACAGAGTAGTTATTGCCTCTCCAGTGCAACAGGTTGATTTGAAGCAACACAATGTACTGCAGGTGGGGGACAAGAAGTTGCATCCACAGCATATCCCTGATCATCTTCCACCTTTCCCTGATACCCACACATATTGGTATGTATTTCTCTCCTATTTGATATTTGATGTTTATACTTAAACTGGTAGTAATTTACATTGCTGCTTACATAAACTTCTGTTATTTTCTGTTTGCCAAAAAAAAAAAAAAAAAAAAAAATCATGGTGTGAAAGAGCTAAACCAGTACCTTAATTAACATACCTAAACTAACTACAACACTATGTATTTTTACATCTTGTAATATTTATTCCCTTCTTAAATACATATTTTATGATGAGTTCACCTCATGTATGACCATTCTTATGTTTTTTCAAGTTTTCTAGCATGTTGAAGTTGTCTTTACAGTGCAAAAACGAGAACAAGGTATTTTATGAATCATCAGTTTACTTGTTGTGCAAGTCACTATCTGGTCAGATTTAACCCTTTCAAGGTTTTTGACATACTAGTACGCCTAAATTCTAGTGTCCTCAAATCTAGTGAAAGAATGCTGGTAGGCCTACATATGAAAGAATGGGTCTATGTGGTCAGTGTGCGCAGTATAAAAAAAATCCTGCAGCACAGTGCATAATGAGAAAAAAAAACTTTGTGTTTTTGGATTAAAACAGCGACTTTGCACTGTATTTTCGTATGGTATTTATTGTTGTATTCTAGTTTTCCTGGTCTTATTTTATAGAATGGAAGACATATTACAGAAATTGAGATGATTTTGACTGGTTTTACAATGAAAAGTACCTTGAAATTGAGCTCAAAGTAGCAGAAATGTTCGATTTTTACCAAAGTTCAAAAATAAAGAAATCATGCTAAGCATCCAATACACGTCAACTGGTGAGTCTAATATTCTTTCACAAGAGCACCGATATTATTTATGCCATTTCTACACTAATGCAGTAGTCTGCATAATAGTAAATCTTCTATTTTTTGTGAGAATAAAAATTCAAAGTGGAAAGCAAAAGAATGTAAGAGGGGCATGGGGACGTGACTAATGAACAGAGGAAATGTTATTTTAGTGTCAGGAATGTCTTTCTTGTTTATTCTGGACCCTATTTGGAAATTGGCATCTTTTGAAATTTGTGTGAAATTGGCAAAATTGCTAAATTCTGACCACTGTATTGGATAGTTGAAATTGGTAAATGGGTGGTTTCTTGTACTCATTCGATAGAAAAAATAGAGTTCTAGCGAAATAATTATGATTTTTGTCGACTAGTACATTGGAATTGGCCGAAAATAGGGCTCAAAGTGGGCAAAATCGCCGATGCATAAACATCGTCGAGACCGCTAACTTCGCGAGAGCATAATTCTGTAAGTTTTCCATCAAATTTCATACTTTTGGTGTCATTATGATTGGGAAAAGATTCTCTATCTTTTCATGAGAAAAAATAATTTTTTTTTTTAAATTTGGGTGACCCTGAGAACAAGCTGAGGGCGGGCCTGGGGACCCTGAAAGGGTTAAAAAGAAAGCCATCCTTCACCTAGCCAGTGTCTACTCAGTGAAATTTTGCTTTGTGATTAATGCTACATCAGAGAACCAATTCATTTCAAGACCACTTGTCTCACACTTAGTAACCTCTAGTTGTAAATCTTACTGTTACCCCCCCCCCTGCCAAAGAAAAAAAAAATCCTTTACAGTCAATTATAAATGCACTGGATCCAAAATTTTGAAGAAAATACATAATTAAATCTTAAAAATCAACCTTGTCTGATTTTTAGCAAACACACACATGCATTCCAAACACATACCAAAGACTCGTATAGTATGCAAAAAAACACATTTTGGTAAAAATAATACTGAGAGGAAAAATATTTCTTAATACTTTCATTGTCTCCCATATAGATCTACATCAGTGTTGCTCATGTAGATTTATGTTTTGAGCTCACCTCCCTCATTTAACTCTTAACCCATAAACAGTCCAAACGTATATATACGTATGTTTTTACCGCTAGTGCCCCAAACGTATATATACGTTTTATTTTTCTTGCCTTCAAATTTGGCACGATTGGCCTGAGATGCCTTGTCAGCATAGAATGGGTTCTAACACTCAGTGTGTGCGGTATTAAAAAACTCTGGGACCACTTAGTACCTTGTGGGAGTACAGTTCAAATGAGCACCAGCTAGAGCAAACAGCGCAGCAAACACCTGGGATTCACTGATGTCATGTAGTATTAACACTCCCATTTAAGAGGAAAGTGATTTTGATCTTGAGTTTAGTGGGTTTGAGGTGGATGTGGCCACAAGTGGTCGAGGAAATATAAAAAAATCTTGATAATAACCCATGTGCAATATTTGTGCAACACATTTTCAGAATGTCTTACAACCTATGCCCTATATAAAGAGAAACACTTCTGGCTGGCTGGCAGGCTGGTTGGCTGGCTGGCTGACTGACTGGCTGATTGGCTGGTTAGCTGGCTGGCTAGCTGGCTGGCCAACTGCGTGGCAGCCAGCTGTGTGGCTGGCCGGCTGCTGGCCGCCTGGCACTCTGTCTGTCTGTATTTATGTCTGTCTATCTCTGTCTCACAGGTACACATAAATACAAGTATACATAGTGTAAATTACCTAGGATAACCCAAAAAATCCAGACAAAGTGCTATACTCTGCTTGAAGATGTGAGTAAACGTGATGATGCAGTCTTGTGGCTCCCTCTCAGACAGAGAGATAGACAGATAGACAGGGAGCTTGACAGACAAACAAATAGACAGACATGTTTGTGTACCAGCGAAAACAAAGCAGGCCCTAATCGTTTCTTATCAAGTCTTATCACTGCACCCTTGCCAATGCTCATCAAACGTCAGCTCTTATCAAGTGTTATCTCATCTTATCACGTCACTGTCAGGGGTGGACTTTGTTTTTCATGCTTCAAGGGAACTTATTATTTCATTATTATTACATATCATCATCATCATCATCATCATCCATCATCATCCATCATCATCATCATCATCATCATCATCATCATCATTCATCATCATCATCATCATCATCATCATCATCATCATCATCATCATCATCATCATCATCATCATCATCATCATCATCATCATCATCATCATCATCATCATCATCATCATCATCATCATCATCATCATCATCATCATCATCATCATCATCATCATCATCATCATCATCATCATCATATCATCATCATCATCATCATCATCATCATCATCATCATCATCATCATCATCATCATCATCATCATCATCATCATCATCATCATCATTCCCTCCCTCCCTCCCTCCCTCCCTCCTCCGGGACTTATAAATACTTTGTATATATTCCAAGACAATAGTAAATGACCAAGGCAAGTGAAAATGTCCACCTGTCAGTGTGTTTGTGACAATGTGAGTACAATTTCAGTAGCTAATACTAGTGTCAGAACAAAGATTGGTTATGAAATGACAAGAACTACTATAAATTGTAATTATCAGGACATAAAAATTATATAAAAAAGTATGAAAAATGGAAAAAAAGATATATCGGCAACACTTCTGCAAGCGGCAGCGCTCCATGTTGCCACCAGGTGATCGCCAATTGCCAATTTTGCGACCTCATATCTTGGTAAGTACTGACCCTAAAAATTTTTTTTTATCCTATAACAGTTAGAAAAATGTGCTCTTTTTTCAATAAAAAAAAAAAAAAATATTTTTTAAAATATTCGGGGCACTGGGGTAGTGAATGTATATACAGTGGACCCCCGCATAACGATTTTAATCCGTGCAAGAGGAGTAATTGTTATGCGAAATAATCGGTATGTGAATGAATTTTCCCCATAAGAAATAATGGAAATAAAATTAATCCGTGCAAGACACCCAAAAGTATGAAAAAAAAATTTTTTTACCACATGAAATGTTAATTTTAATACACACAAACTGGAAAAGGCATGCACCATACATGACACTTACTTTTATTGAAGATCTGGTGATGATTGATGGGATGGGAGGGGGGGAGAGAGATGTTAGTGTTTAAAAGGGGGAATCCCCTTCCATTAAGACTTGAGGTGGCAAGTCCTTTTCTGGGGTACTTCCCTTCTTCTTTTAATGCCACTAGGGCGAGCTTCAGAGTCACTGGACTTCTTCGCACAAGATATCTGTCCATAGTGGCCTTTACTCTCGTTCCTTTATGACTTCCCTAAAGTGTTTCACAACATTGTCAGTGTAATAGTCACCAGCACGCTTGCAATAGCTGTGTGAGGGTGATTTTCATCCATAAAGGGTTTTTGCACTTCAAGCCACTTTGCACAGATTTCTTTAATCTTTGTAGTAGGCAACTTCTTCAATTTCTCTCTCCCCCCTCTGAACCAGTTTCCTCAGGTCTGGCCTCTTGCTCGTGAGTTGATCTATCAGCTCTCAGTTTTTTAGTTCTTCATTGTCCTCCTCCACCAACTCTTCCACATCCTCCCCACTAACCTCCAACCCCCAAAGGGACTTCCCCAATGCCACAATTGATTCCTCAACTGGTATAACTCCTCTCAGGGTTAGCCTCAAACCCTTCAAAATCCCTTTTGTCTACACATTCTGGCCACAGTTTCTTCCAAGCGAGTAAAGGGTCTTCTTAGTCACTCCCTCCCAAGCCTACCTATAAGGTTTATACAATTGGGGATATTAAAGTGATCTCTCCAAAACTCTCTTAGATTTCAGTTGAGTTTCTGAGGTCACTACAAAGCACCTTTCAAACAGAGCTTTTGTGTACAGTTTTTTGAAGTTTGCATAACCTGCTGGTCCAGGCTTCAGGAGAGGAGGGGTTTTAGGAGGCAAAAACTTCACCTTAATGAAGCTCATGTCCCCATAAAGTCGCTCTGCCACGTCTGTAGGATGACCAGGGGCATTGTCTAACACCGGGAAAGGCACTTAAGGTCTAATTTCTTTTCAGTTAGGTAATCTTTCACATTGGGGGCAAAATGCATGGTGTAACCATTTTATAGAAAAGTCCCTAGTGACCCATCCCCTTACTGTTTGCCCTCCACAGCACACACAAATTATCCTTGAGGACATTCTTTTTTCCTGAACGCTCTGGGAGTTTCAGAGTGATAAAACTAATAAAGGC